ATGTTGACCAATAGGAGAAGAGCTGACCCAGGAAGGACCACCCACCTTATTTGCATAACGAGACAGAAATGCATAAGGTAAAGTAAAAACAGGAGACAAAGCAACACATAAAAATAAAAACACTTGTGGGAAAAATTATAAAAAAAGAAAGAAAAACAAAACTAAATCAAATTACATGAAGACAAATAAGCACGTTTTCCAAACACATTTTTCTGGCTTCATGCACCACATTCTGAGATGAGACGTTCAAGATTTATTTGGAATGAGTCTATTTCCACACTAAAAAAAAGAGCTTCTTGGAATTAAAGTTCTGCTGATGTTGAARTTGTGAGGGGAAGAGGGGCGATGGAGCAGATAGGCTACATTCTGTACATGCCAACACACACGGAGAGGGTAAAAAAAAAAATCTCGCTGAAGATCAGCTTCCACTTCTGTGGGCGGCCATACCTGAGAGCTGAGAGAACACAGACTGAAATGGTCCAGTCTTAAAAATAATCAACTGACATTCTTGTGATGCTTATGTTGGGATCATTTGACAATCGAGCATCATGTCATGTTTGTCAACAAACTTGGTGTTTATCTAAAAATGTTCTTTTCAAACAATGCTAATTTATTAGGTTTACAGAACAGGTTAATTTGGCACCTCCTCAGCTGATGGTGGTGTCCATAAAGGCAAACTTAGGACATTGCTGAAATGCRCGACATGCCGATGTCATGGAACAGCAGCAGGTGGTGACTTTACTCCTCATGTCAACTGATCTGAAAACCTTTAAATTCACATGGATGTAAAACAAAACACATCAAACATTCTCCGTAAGGGTTTTAGATGAGCTGATGTGTAACGCTACCGCTTTATTTTAAATGGATGAAACAAGAAACCAGGAAGCTGAAGATAAGCATTGCTTCTTGTCAATCTTCCTGGCATTAGAGAGTCTTGCTACTGTTTGTTTTAGAGCTTTCTTTTTTTAATTTTAAGTCAAATGTCACTAAAATAATTCCAAATAAACCACCAGTGTCAACAAGAGCTGCATTCCAGCTTCTCATGTCTCAGGTCTGTGTGAACCCCAGCTCCAACTCAAATACACACAGAGAGGAATGTAGTGACTCTCACACACACACACACACACACACACACACACA